ACAAAAAGGGGTTGGTGCACTAAATCGAAATCTCGTCACAGAATTTCACCATCACATACTGACTATCTTTAGTATTTTCAAGACTCAGTTATTCTTTATGTATTTATTTATTTATTTGGTAAACATATAAACCATATGAGTCCAAATAAGTAAGTAATAAAAAAATTATAATAACGTAGATGTATACGACAAGCTCCAGCTTAACCAAAACAAAAAACAAAGGAAAACCGTTAACTTTTGATGTTGTCCCCAACAGAAATCTGGAAAGCCCAGACAGCGAATTAAGGGACGTAGGAGTCGTGTTCGATTTTCAGAGAATCTCATTACCGACATTGAAGTTCATCCGTTAAAAATACTCGACTCTTTCTTGTAAACAACACCAAGTTAATCGATGATAGTACTGTGAGTTATCTTAGTTGAAATATTTTGAAAATTGAGATAAACCTTGAAAATATGTAACTGAAAACAGTCATTTTTCCACTTTAAGGATATCTCAATCTTTTGACGAGGTATGGCGAAATTCAGAGGTCAGATTTCGATTGAGAGCACCAATTTCTTTCGGATAAACTTTGTTTTGTTTCTGCAATTAAGTGTTCTGTCTGTTAATTAAAAACATCAAGTTTTGTTATCTTTTTACAAAAAAGAACCCCTGTTTGTGAGTTAGAGTGCTCCTCTCAGACTGATTATACTTTCTTTAGTCACTGACTGCTCTCTATACGAGAAAACCGCACCTTCCCAATAAAAGGGTTAATGCTCGAGACCATCGGACTGGCTGTAATAACATTCTTTCCAGATTGCATCGTGGCATAGAACGAAACGCATTAGGGAGATACACGGAGGAGGTCTTGATCTCCAACTTCCTTTGTAAACCGTAACAAACTTCTCTACATTGTATCATTGTAATTCATCCACCTGAGGTGATTAAACATAGAAAAATGGAGAGACAGATAACTAAAACTCGGGAAAACTATTGTCATATAACAATACTTGCTACAAGGGTTTCAAATCCAAGAAAATGCAAATATCAAAAATGTCTTAACAGTGACCTGAAGACCAGAGAAAGTAAAATAAATGACGAAATCAGCGAGTCAATACAGATTAAAAGATAAAGGAAATTAGAATTACATTCGAGTATTTTAAATAATAATTGATTTTTTAAACCAACCAAGTAACTATTCTAACGATTTCATGTAAGTAAAACCAAACATACGAGAAACCAGAAGCACTATTATATTATCCTATTTACACTTGAGAATAATTTGCGATTTCGCCAGAACAAAATCAAAAAATATTTTTGCACAAAAAACTTCCTCAAATGCACTTTTACGATGATAAGAGAGAAAGTAGTTCCGTTCGTACTTGGGAGTACCGTATAATTACGCATTTATTCGACCAACTATGAACTCTTAATGACCATCTACATACATGCACTGTTACATCACTTATAATACTTTGTGAAAGTAGTATTTGCCACATAAACTCTAATTAAAAGTAGCTACATAATTGTATAAAATGCAAAATTCACTTTCTATTTCATATTTATATATTTTGTTATTTACTTACTTCAGTTACGTTTTCGTCCTTAAAAAATACCGCGACTAACAAATAAATAAAATTCTTGATATATTTTACATTTCCATGCAAGTGACGAATTTTGTATGAATATGTAATTTGAAAGCTGTATCCTGTGTTCGACGATTTGCGGTGAAATACGTACGTATGTGTACAACGCCGACCGATTCACCGCGCGTCGTTTGCGCGGTGCAACGGTTATAACGGAAGAAGATATAAATTGGAACAAATTTTATAAAAACCTACCTAAAAACCTATTTTAACTGTCCAAAATATATGTTATAAACTTTAATAATCAACAACTGTGCTAGATCTATGCATAGTTCCTTTCAATTTTGGATTACGTGAACAGCATGTTCATTGTCATAATTAGGAAGGCTGTCTCTTTATCTCATATACAAAAAATATAACATTGCTTGCTATGTGAACCAAAAATTTAGAGAAATAGGTATATATACTTTTCAATTACCATCTGTCTGTCTTACGACTGCTGACGAAATTAAATTAGTTTGAAATTAAAAGTTTTTTCATGAACTGATTCCTTATCTGTTTTTAATCGTTAATTACTCAATGATCAGACATTAAATTAATTAAAACGAAAATATGTATACCTTGGAATTTCACAACGACTGCAAAGGTGAGAGGTTTTCCTACAAAATTTTCGTAACACTAGGTTTAAGTAAATAATTATTCTGAGTAACTAGCAAGTAGACTGTAAAGTTCTTTAGTAATATACTTTTGGGGTGAGAACAAATAAATTAACCACAACTTGATATTTTTTTGTAGTTAGTTAACAATAGCAACCGGATATCACATTTCAATGTGTAAACAAATTAACAAGTAAATTAATAACACACCTTGTTTGTAATTTTAATAATGCGTAGGTAAATAATAATTGCGCAACTTTTGTGTGAATTTTTAAGTTCGCCTTTTTAAATTACGAAGACAGGGACAATTGTGATGAAACTGTAATAATTTTTCAGTTTTCGAACTACTGATGTCAATCAGCAAAAGTGTGGAAGACAAAAAGGAGATATTTTTGTCTACGCAATTACTTAAACAATTCGTTTTTAATTTATAGCTTTTCAATTAGCAATTACAGAAAAAAATAGGTATCAATTCGTATGATGTAATACATAAACACACGAAAATGGATCGTAATTACGGGAACATCTATTTTTGTAAACATCGTAGCATCAAATTTTCAATTCACTTTTAAGTTTTACATTGTACTGACATGAAACTATAAAATTGTGGATGATGAAACTAAAAAAATATCTGCCGCTGTCGCAACGTAATTTGGCATGGTTATAAAGCCTTCATAATGACCGTATCTGAGGTCAAATCCATACAAAAATACATACATGTCCTTTTTCGTATGGAAACCCAAATTGATACGTAAATAGGTGTCGTCTCAAAAAAATTATCTCCTATGACGAATAACTTTACTATGGAAGTATACCTGACAAAGACACACGCAATATATTAATTTAATGTAATAATTTTAAAGAAATATCATCTTATAATCGTAAAGANCAACTTGAAATATCAACTTGCAATTCGAAATTATGACTTTCAACTCGAAATATGAAATGGTACCTCAAACTTTCGACTTGCAAATTGAAGTTTCGTCATGCAACTTGAAATTTCGATTTGTAACTCAAAGTTTTGATCTACAACTCGAAATTTAGAATTGTATCTCAAACTTTCAACTTGCAACTCGAAATTTAGACTTTAAACTCAAAACTTCTACGCAGTGTATCGAGTTGCCCATCACTGTCGTAACGATTCCTGTTTGCAATTCAGGATAGTTGGTTGCCGCCCTTAGGCTGGGTTGGGATTGAATTAAAATAGATTAGAATTCAATAGAGATTTCAAATTACAACTCCAAATTTCAATTTGCACATCGAATTTTTGAGTTACAAGTCGAAATTTCAAAAAGAAAATATGTTTGGCTCTTCTATGCCTTCATACCAAACGTATAACTTTTAAGAAATGCTTCGATTAATCTGTAAATTTACTAAAACACAGAAAAAAAGTTTATATATTTATTTTGCTGCATTAAGATTTATTGATTACATTACAAAAGACTAAAACATGTACCTTTTCTAATGTAACGCAAATATGAATCTATAACATTACGAAAAAAATGATAACAATAATAAATCTAATACAATAAAATATCTAAAAAACAAGGAAGTAGTTCATCCCTAAAATTTTGATCTATCCTTGTATATAAAGTAACAATTAAAATTAGGAAAAGAAAAGGTGTGCCTATGTGAATGCAAAAATATTTGTTTCAAAATGTTTTAAGAGGCTTGGAGATTACGAGGAAGGTATTACAATTACATGATTCTTACAAATTACTTTACATTAACACACTTTTCAATTCTTTTCTTTAGGAATTAGGTACGTATAATGTCGCAACCTCATCTCTAAAAATATAAAAACCAATTCATGCTCAAACCCCACTTCTGCACTTTATAGCAAAACCTTATAGGTATTTATTGAATTTAATAAAAAGTTACTATAGAAATAATACATTAGACACATACTTAACTAATCACCTTTTTCTTAACCAAATGGAAAGTGGTTAGGCGATTACTACAAAGGCCCACTGTATATAAAAACATTTACCCTAATAGAGCATTCCGTCCTTGTTGCTCCAATCAGAACAAATGTTACCTATATTTTAGAGGTACGCATTTTGTTAACCGTCACCGGAAATTTCCTATTTTTCTTTGTTCCAGTAGATTAGTCATTTCATGTATAGAAGTATAAATATTAAATTAACGTCATTGCTTATGAATAATAAAAAATTCACTAATCTACTTGACAATACTACCGAAATCCTACACAATAAAGCATATATGGAATAAGTAAAAATTGTAACATTGCCTATAATGTAAATACTAATTTTACACTTCGATTAATTACATGACTACGTGTAGGTACGTTATAATAGGATAAATACTGTAGAAGCAAAATGGCACCTGGTACAATATTACGTATTTATCTAGACTCCAGCTGGCCTACCTTTTTTGGCTCGTTCAAATTCCACTTAAGTAAACCAAATGCTATAAAACAACACGATATTTAAAGTTACTTTCGTGACAATAATGCATTCTGATTAGAAAATATGTTTTACTGATACAGTACAAAGGCTCCACTTTCACCACACGACCAGCCGCTCTCTCCACTCACGAACAACTGAACGCAAATCAGCTGTTTTAGGCCAAAGCAATCAGCTTGTTTTTACGATCATAAACGAGTATGGCCGAAAGATGCAACTACACTCAGGGCGGTAAATTTAAATATAGTAAGTACTCTTTTCAGCTTTAGCTATTAAATTATATACTTAGCATTATAATAAAGTATTCAGATAAGAAATACTTTATTTTCTAATATTATGGGAAGTGAAATAACAATGAAATTTATCACAACCTCTTTATTGTTAAAAATTACATACACTAAAATTTAAACATATTTCCTTGAGAAAAGATTACTGAGGTCAAAGTCAATTATTATCATTTTTTCCCCGATTTTTTTATTCCACCTGAAGCTAAGGGACCTTTCTGGGATGCTTTAGCTTTCGCATCAGCTAAAGCTTTCTGTTGCTCTTTCATTTTTTGTTTATGTGCCACATCTTCTTCGTCCAAATCTTTTCCAGTCTTCTTTGGTTGCTTAAGTGGTTTCTTTTTACCACCTTCTCTTCCAGACATTCTAAAAATATGCTATAAATTTATTGTAAAGAACATGTACTTTTTAGTGAAGTTGACATATGCAGTTTTAACATAAAGACAAAGCTGATTATTCAAACGATATAAAATCGTGATTACGTATCATTAATTAAAACATATAATATTTAAAATACGCTATACGTACCCCAATTATAAATAATTTATGTAAATACTCCCGACAAAATCTGAAAAGTGAGGTGTGATGTGTGATCTGTCACAGTTAACCTCTTAAAAACACAAAAACTAAGGGTAAAGATAGATAATCCCACCCTGAAATACACGCCTGCAATAGATGTTGCCTATATATCAGGAACATATGATAAACTAAAAGCTAATAAAACGCTAAATCTTCAGTAAAGCCAAGCAGAGCTTCTGAGGATCAGATTGAAAAGAATATTCTAAGTTTCTGTGAAGCCAATTTATTTAAACATAATCATTACAAAAAATTAAATAACAGCGACAATCGTAATGATCATTAATACTATCAACTGGCTAACTCAACAAAATAAAGTTTGCAAAGTTTTTAAATAACTGGCCAAAGAAAAAGGTACATATCTTAACTCAGAAATAATGAGAAATATTAAATTAAATTACTGAAATACATTATCATTCATTCATTTGTACTAAATTAATCACTGGTGGTTATAAGATCTCCATTTGAGATGATCACTGGTTTCCTACACACAAAGAAAACACTGTCATATTCATATTGCAGCATTGACATAGGATTCTGACAATAACGAGTTTTTACTCCAATTTTTTTCTTTTCCATAACAAATCCAACACGGCTTATTACCTCACACAATACTTCAAAGCTTGGTTCAATGCTTTTTTCGTTTTTTGCATCTGAATAGTGGTACAGTAAAGGACCTAAATTGATCCAAACACCACCTGGTTTTAATATATGATAAATTAATTCAACAAAGTGCACAACATTTGGAGCACAATCAATAAAAAAACAAGTAGCTACACAATTCCACTCATTTGGTTCTGTGTAAACTTCAACAAAATCTCCAGCTGTCATGGAAAATTTACTTTCTGGAATTGGTGTGGGACAGACATCTGGAAATCTACAAATGATATAAAAAATAAGTCTGTAACTTCAAGGATCTCTAACAAATTATATGGTCATGTTTGATACTGCAAATGTGGCCTGGATTAACTTAAGATTATGAAATATCTTTAAGTTAGGTCAATAAGAAATCAATTTCCTTAATACATCACATCTAAGTCTAGCCAATGCTAGCAGGGAAGATTTTGATTAGTGAAAGTGATATAAAAAATAATAAACATTGAAATATTAATTGTGGATAAACCCAATCAAGACAACCCAACCCAGCCCAATGTTGCATAACAGTTGCTGAAGATGCATAACATTTACTGTAGGTATTTATAAATGCTTCATAGCACCTACTACCAAAATAATGCAATGACTAAATGCACATGGACAAGGATATCATCTAAAGATCTATGGTAATCCTAAGTTATCCCAGGCAAATGTTGATTTACCACTTGCACATACCTTACACTTAAGGTTTGATGTTCAGCACTTAAATTATTACAATATTGATGTATCCATGGATAAATTTCAAATTCATCCACCTTCTTACACAAATTCAGCACATAAAAAGATGCAATTAGCATAAATAAGTTAAATTCATTTCCTTGACAAGAAAATCCTCTGTGGGCAATTTCAAAAGCTAATCTACCTAATCCAGCACCAGGTACAAGAACGTTAACTTCACTTCTGATAAATTTATCATCTGGAAATTGATGTTCTACTTCTTCTATTATTGGTGTATAACACTGCTGACGTTCAGAAGCTCCTACTGAACTCCAATCTCGCATGAGTTGCTTAAATACTGATTGTACCTTTTCCAAACCTTCTGAGAGAACTGGCACCTTTGTATCTGAACTAAAGGGACTGTCACTGCCTAAACCGTTCTCAAAAATATTATAAGAATTCTGAAGAAAAATTGGTATCAATTCGGCGTTTTTCTCAATACACTTCTTGTACTTTTCTAAATCTTCATTATATTGGGTCAACCACTTTTGATGATGACAAGGTAGGGAACTGAGGCAGTATTCTTTATTTTTGATACGTAGGAATGATTGCTCCCTAAAATTTAAACAATTTAAGGTATTTTCAATAAGCATTTTTTCCTTTGTTCTTACTTGTAGTCCAAAAATGTCTTTAATACAGACAGAAAGTATTTCCGCTCTTCTGCCACTTTGTCACCACTGATTTTGTTGCTGTACATGTTTTCCATATTTTATATTATTTACTTAAATTTATAAATATGCACGTATATTCTACTGTTATAAAAAAAATAATGAACAAAACCTACAGTCACAACAATAACAGGGTAAAACAATAGAGAAAGAACCTTAACATAACCTAGTAGATTGACCCACTTTATTTTGTGTTGGTAAAGGCGAAACCTAGGATTATCACTGTATTGCAGCGTTGCCAAATGTTAATATAAATTAATTTTGTGAGTATTTTGTTCCTACTAAAAGTTAACTTATAACTGTTGTTGAATAAATAAGTATTGAGCTAGCTAAAGTAAGCGTTACGACAGAAAAGAAATTTTTTCTGGTCGTTTCTCTTTTACTGTGACCAAAATTTTATTGCCCCCCTCCCTCAATAGAAACGCCCCAGAACCCCATTCAGGAGCTAGTTAAGTCCAAAATAAACAGCATTTCTACTGTTTATTCATTGCCTTTTGGTCATAATAAACTTTTAATAATAGTTTGGATCCATGCAGCAGAGAATATACTGGTATTCCTTGCTACAACTAAAAGGATCTACAAATGTATCTTACAATCACATCTACGATGGGACATAATTTTAGAAGAAAGTCAAAGTTCTTCACAAAACGATTTCGACATTGAGCTTCTTAGAGAATTGAAAAAAGAAATATTTCAATTAAACGTTAAATCTGGAAAAGATGTACTTCATGATCAGTTAGTGAAGACACTATCGCTAAGTGAAAGAATACTGTACATCAAAGGGTATGGGTACAACACCTTCAAAGCTGTAGGAGCAATGATACGGAATTTTGAATGTACCATCAATTGAATAGAAGATGAAAATTCAAAAGCTGGATCTTCTAGAGAATATAGAATAATAAATGCTCGATCGTTACATTCCTCCTTGAAGTGGTTGTTGTTCCTCAACTTGTTATGGGGGTGGGAAAATGCTGGCCTTCCTATCGTCAGAAATGGAAAAATCAAAAAATTGTTTGACGAAAAAGCTGCTGATTTATAATTGAAAACGCATGAAAAACATCAAAAGAGTTAATACTAAGTTTTGGATAAAATGAGAAATGAATTGCAAAAATGCACAGAAGGATTTCCAGAAGTAAAGACGTTTTCGGATTTTTGATGCGTGAGAATTTGAGGAATCTAGGAGAAGATGATTTGTGACCAGTTTTACTATTTTAATGAAGAAATACTAACAAATTTTCTTCTTTCTTTCTCGAAAGATAGTCGATTGCAGTAGTTAGAGTTTATCATTAAAAATTGAAAGATCATTGGCAAACTCACTCAATTTGGATTCCGCAATGGAAGAATTTCCTAATGAAAATGCAAGAAGAGGTTCATAGTTACATGTTGCAATCTTTCACCAACATTACGACTGGTGTATGACTTGCTTTAATGGATAATGGATAAGCTTTGCTTTGTATTAAAACTATGGCCATTCGTTTGAATATGGATTAATTGTTAATTTAAAATATACGTGTAAGTGTTGGCAACAGCGAGTTAGGCCAAAAATTGCCTCTCAAGGCTGCCTTATTATTTATTTATCAGCATTTAAGATTTGATACAATTCATCAGTAGCGTTTGTGGTCTTGTTGTGTTTGTTGATGTTCCTTATCAACTGTGCGAATTAAACTTTGACGTGTTTAAACGAATATGATAATTATTGAAAACCATTTTTTTCTATAAAAGTACCTACATAACCTGTTTCGACTATTTTTATAACAATTGCTTTGTACCATATTTTCAATATAAAATTGTTATAAACAAAACCACTCCCTTTTAACAAGTAAAATTTGCAATATTTAAACCTTCATTCCAACAAAATGAAGTTAACTTTAAAGAACTGCCGGAATATAGTTAAAAGTCTAGATTTTTATTCACAGTTTAACCCCTCACCTTTATCAATCAAGAAATTTATTGATTTTGGTAAGTTCATATACATAGTTTATATCTTTATTTATTTAATTAAGAAAAAAATGATGCAATATCCTTGCAATAGAGAAAATATTTCAATTTGTTTGTAAACTTTTCAAAAAACAAAATTTTATTTTAATAAACGACAATTGCCGTTTCACTAAAAAAAGTTTGTGAAAAGTTTACAAATTGTTATTAAACAAATGTCGATAATGAATTTTTACTAGGTAAAAAGTTAATTTTATTTGATAATATATTTTATTGCGTGATGTATATCAATAGGCACCTTCAGCAGATTATGCGGTAATTTTGGTAATACCATACGTATGTAGTGCACAATGTAATAAATGAGTAATTTAATGGAAAGAAATAAAATGATTACCAAATTGAACTGTAAACTTCCAAAAATTAAGACTGCCACCAAAAATTATTATCAGTTACTACAAGATGGTACCTTGTACCTTGGTACCAAGTTAGTTCGCTTTACTGTCGTAACAATACGTTAAATTGTTTTGCTATAACTTGTATTTTAAATACTACGTTTCTGCCGGTTTTCGTAAATCGTAAATGGTAATCATAAATACTTATAAGGCTATAAAATGGTTAGTTGTATAATTACTGCGAAAATGAATAATTAATGTTAAGTACCTATACTGGGGACTTTTCCATAAAAACTACTTTTGGTAAACATTTAACATCTTTGGAAAACAGAAGTACTATTTTTTGTACGCATAATTTTCTGTCAGATTTAGTAACCACTCTCCTAAAATCCAAATAGAATTTACCCCGATTGAATAAATAAATTTTCAGATCATTGAAAGTAATTGAAAAGGCACTATTACAAAGATCAAAAAAGCACATCCAAATGTAAAATACGTAACATGCAGTCAGTTGGGTAAAATTAATTAAATGTGGCGTTGAGTTTGTGTTAGTAATTAGTAAAAATATAAAGTAAGTAGTATTTTATGTTTATCTCGGCTGCTTTTCGCATAGAAATAATGATAATGTTTGTTTATTGCGTCATTTATTGCGAGTCGGAAATTAACAATTATGTTCGCTTTAACTGACATTTATGTAAAAAATATGCACTTTTATACGTTGATGTACTTTAAACATGTAGAAAGCCAAACAGCTCAAACTCAACGCCAAAGCACGACAGGGAACGTCTGAAGTACTTTTTGGTAACAATAGGAACCAAAGGAAAGATAAACATTACAAATACTAACTGCTAATACGGTCTTATAGTCCAGTGTAAAAGGCGCGGTAAGAAATACATTGGACAAACAAAACGCTCTATGCTTATTAGGTTCAAAGAACATTGGCTTATGCCGGGCTTGGTAAAACTGAAAAATTAGTGTTGTTCAACATATTCTGAGAGATATATAAATATGTATTTTCGAAATAATTTTAATTTCTTGCATTAATATATTCATTATGTTAAACTACTGTTTCACTATCCTGTTGAAAATTTGACTGATCAGTAGCATTACACATATTTTGGGTTTCGGCAATGTGCCAGAAAGATAAAGTAACTCAAATCGCAGCAGATGTAACCAAACCAACTTAAAAAGCCAAGAATTAATTTTAATAATTTAATATTAATTTAGCAATGTTAAACACGGTTCGTGAATTAAAAGTTTCTGAAATATCTCACGGGTGATTGTATTATGTGCTTATTAGATTCGTCACGATTTCGTATACAATTACAAAATTTGAACTTCGGCATGACATTGGATCTTAAATTTTTTAATGATAAAGACATTGATTCGTATTCACTTCTCTGGGACAAATAATTATAATTATATTTAATAAAATTAGAATGATTACTTGCAGTTAATGAAATGTTTATGTTCAGTGAAACTTAAAAATTGGCCTTTCTGTAAGTATTTACGTACTTTTACAAATAGGTCAAAGGCATATGTTGAAATGATGGATAAGTGATTATTATTTATACTTTTGAAAACCTCTTCGTATATCAGTGCTTGCAAATAAATAGAGATAATTAAAGAGCACAATTAGAAACTTTTTCGAGGTAATAAGCATGTGTACAACATTACAATGTTGTTTATTTTATATGCAAAACAATTCAGAGTTGAACAAAGTTCCCTAAACAAGAGGACTAAAATATTGCATGAAATCGTAAAAAAAAATCGACAGACTAAATATATGAATCCAGTGATACTTCCCTTGTAAAAATCATATAAAATATTTTCAAAGGTTTATTCTCTTGAGGAAAAATATCTTGCAATCGTAAACTTGTTTGTTATCGATTAATTTATTCACCATGTACATAATACAATTCGATATCATCATTATTCTACCGCGTGATTATGCATGATAATTTTTTCATTTTTTGAAAAATAATAAAGTGAGCATGCATTATTGTAAATTCAAGGACTGACATAATTTGTATGCCTTTCTCATCAACTCAGTATAATATGCACGCACTTCAGTTTGCACACCTGTATCTACAGTATATCTGTAATAATATCTAGTATAATCTATGCGATTTCGACAAGCATTTTTCTCTTCAAAAAATTGTTGCTACGTTTTTAAGAAATTAAATATGAAATACAAATTTTAATTATTTATGATGTCGTCGATGATCTTTGACACGTATTTAGAACATCATTGCGAGCGAAATAGCGGGTAAAACCTATCATGAAACTTAGGATACATTTTATCCAGAAAAAATACTGTTTTCGAAAGATAGAAAAAATTAGTTTTATCTCGTCGTCGATGATCTCTGACAGATATTTAAACATCAACTAGAGCGAAACCGCGGGTAAAACCTATCATGAAATTTTGTACACACATTGTCAGGGGTATAGAAAATGATATAGGGTACCTTTCACTCAGAAAAACTACTGTTCCCGAAGGATAGAAATATTAGTTTTATACGATCTTTGACGCGTATTCACGACACCAACTCGAGCGAAAAGCCGCGGGTAAAACCTATCAAGAAATTTTGTGCATGGGTAAGGTAAAACCTATCATGAAATTTTGTGCACGCATTGTCAGGGGTGCAAAAAAGAGTATAGGGTACCAGAAAAAATACTGTTCCAGAAGCATAGAAAGATTAATTTTATGTGATCGTCGAAAATCTTTGAATGTATTTCGTTGCAATAACCTAACCTAACTCGAGCGAAGCCGCGGGTAAAACCTATCATGAAACTTTGTGTACACTTTATCAAGGGTACAGAAAAGGATATAGGGTACCTTTCATCCAGAAAAGAATACTGTTCCCGAAGGATAAAAAGATTACTTTTATGTGGTCGTTGATGATCTTTGACACGTATTTACGACGTCAATTCGAGCGAAGCCGCGGGTAAAACCTATCAAGAAATTTTGTGCACGCACTGTCAAGGGTACAAAGAAGGACATAGGGTACTTTTTATCCATACAAAAATACTGTGTATAGAAAAATTAGTTTTGTGTGGTCGTAGATGATTTTTGACACGTATTAGTTAAAACTAAAATATCGCTTTCAAATTTTTGTACTTATGACGACCAGTGGGCCCACACTTGATACATCTTTGCCAAATTTTAGATTGGTACGGTAATTATTCTGTCACACAAGTAGAAGGATATACGTCCGATAATCTTACTTTAAAATAACTGCTCCGTTATTGCATTATTGTAAAATAAGTTCACGTCTGCTTTTTGTATTTTGTCCGAATTGTAAACGTGTACTTCAAACTCACGACCTACGATCCCTAAATTATATTCAAAAGTATGGTAGAAACGCATGTAATATATGTGAATGTATATCGTCGTACTTTGTTTACCGACTTTTACTAAAAAAAAAAACAGCAGTTGGAATCAAATGTAAATAAAACTCTTTGGACTTTGAGCGGTGACGTGAATTGTCGGCCGTAATTCTAGGAATCTCCATATGATTCGCCTTCAACTTGTTTACGCCACACGTTCGTTATACACGCGATCCATCATTGAATAAACATTCTTATTTACTACAATTTTATAATTCACAATTCACCTGCTCGTTTTGCAAGGTAATGCTTTTAAGTATGAAAGAAAGGATAAGTAGAAAGCAAAGAACGAACAGGCAATAATAATTATCAAATAATAGAAAACGATTTTTCGGCAATGAGTAAAAAATGCATCATTAAAAACTATACAAGAAGACGTAGACGAATAATTATGATTTTACTTTTTCGTCGGTAATTGTATAAAGTAAACTGTTCAAAGTACATTCCCTTGAAGCAAACATGGATAGAAAACTTGTTAAACAAACCCGTATAACCATCATCATCTGAGACCTGAGATTATTACGATTATATTTATTATTATTATAGTGAAAGGTGCCACGTCTTGTGTGTTGTTATCTACATTTGCTGTGTCACATAAATATATATCTCATATTACAATTATATTGTTCTGATGCTTTATGGTTATTGATTTGATTGATTATTCATTATTGTCTTGTGTGATAATCTAAATTAATGGATTGTATATAATGATAATAGGTAGTTACCGTTTCTAATTGTAATCCATAGTCAGAGACGACTTCAGAAAAATGTCATCAGTCTTTGCCTCAAACAAAGAACAGAGAGGAAGTTAGTGTCAATAAAAACATTGAACTGATATAAATTTCATTAAATTAACATATAGAATAGATTTTGTTTGTTCGGTATTCAATTGAAGTTTTGACAGACAAACAAATACATAAACTTAACTGTTAGGAATACATATTTTTGTTATCAGCAAATTATTTTTAATGCAAGTTTCTTATAGTTAATTAATCGTAGAATTCGCTAGAAACTGTTTATTCACTTCTTCTTTTCGTAGTTACAAACAATCATATTCACCCATTATCAACTCATTTCATAATAACAGATATCATTTGATAAACGGTACATTAACACAACATGAGTGTATACTTTGCCTTTTATCGTCTCTATTATCTATGTACATTTTCAGTTTTGTAAAAGCCTTTGTTTAAAACAAAAACAACTAATAACTAGATACTGTAGTGGTTTTATCCTAAAAATAACGCGTGTACCTTATGATAGCTCTAATAAAAGTTTGTACAGTGTACATGGTTGTTTAAAAATTTTGAGATAAAAGTGCAAGTAGTTAGTTATATTATCTATTCTATAATGTATCCCATATTGACCAAAATGTATAGATATATAGTTTTGACGTCGAATGAAGTTGAAAAAGAAAAGGGATTACATTGAAAAAACCTAACCTAACCCAACCTAATGTAATAAGTTATGGTGTCCCAGTTTTTTTTCATTTTTACTTGTTTTGGTAGATAATGTCCTTTACGATATCAGTAACTCCTAGACATTATCTACCCCTGCAATGTAAATAATTTTCTTATTATCAATGTTACAGTTTCTTTGTGAAATATTTTCAACCAGCGATAATATTAGCACATATTTACAGGGTTTTATTAAAAGAAATTAAATGAATGGCTAAAGTAGAATTTGTAGCGGGATCGCCTTCTAAAAATAAAATCGTAATTAAATTACTATAAATAGAAA